CATTCATGATTAAACTTTTTTTTAACATTGTGGATTGCTCCCTTTTTCAAAAAAAAAGTTTAAATGTCTCTAGATCTTGATCAAGAGTGATTGGATAGCAAATCCGTATTCAAACACTCAGCAGTGGTCATGAGCTTTAGTTGGAGACCAAAACAATAAAGTTTGTGTTTAGTGTGGCTGGGTTCAGCCCAGATTGAGGAGTTTGTGGTCTAGATTTGGTGATCTGGTCAGGATCCGTTGGTCATCTGAGCATGTCGGGGGGAGGGGACACCAGGGCTGGAACCAGTGATGTTATTAAGTCATAAATAGACATAAGTTATTTTTGGCAGTTCTTCAGCGATCAGAGGCCGATCCCCTCAAACTGTAGGTGTGCCTGACCTGAGATTCTTTAGCAAAATATGAAAGAAGTGGATCATCAGTTCACTCCAAAAATACAGGCTTTAACCCCTAAACTTCCTCAGGCCTCCATAGAGGCAGCTCTTCAATCGGGGCCAGTACTGACAGTTTGTCTTTTGTCCTTTTCTCCTAACAGCGATCCTTTTGGCTCTGATTCATTTGGGATTTGGCCACCACGACTGATCGGAATAAGTTGGAATCCGCTTCTGTCTGGGTGAGTTTGTACTGCCTGTCAAGAGACCCCAAAGACACTCGTTAGACTCTGGTTTGCCTTTATTTTCTCCGCATTAGGTCACGTCACACATAAGTTACATACTTGAAATCACTAATTTTATGCTCTGCTCTTTACTATATTTAGTCTTTTGTTTATCTTTCATTAAGACAGAAGGAACAACATGGCAGTCCTGCCCCTTTTAGCTCCAGAAATGATAGCTGATGTGTATGAGAGTGAATTTGACATTTCAGACATATACAGACTATATTTGACCTGACCATAAAACTTGCTGCCCTACAGAAATTGTGTAGTATTTAGAAGGAAGTGCTGCATTTAATGAGAACAAGCATTAAAGTCAAACTATAGTTCATGAATTAAAGATATAACAACGCCGTACTTACCGGCTTCAAGAAGCTTGTACCTGTAAGCATTAATTGGTGAACTATGGTTACCTGTAGTTTGTCTGTAAAATCTCATTAAGTACCAGCTGAGTGGTCGTAAAATTTGGAGAACAAAAAAACAAAAGAGTGCAACACAAACAGGAAATGATGGTTCATCTCCAAAGTAAAAGTTGCTCCCTCTAAAACATGTTGGCACGCCTTTTGCTTTCATGGTGAACTTTCTTCATATTTGGTTTGCGTCGCACTTTTTCCTACAGCTCAGAGACGAGCAGGACAGTATTTGTAGACAACGTCACTTCCATTCAAGCGACAACTACAATTGCAACAATATGCTAGCAACCAGGAGGCTTTTGAAAACCAGTTTGGGAATATAAATGTTTCTCTTGTGATTTTTGGTTGCCACAGGATCACGGACTGGTCTGGTGTGACTCAATTTTAGCAAACACTCAGAATTTTTCCCCTCACAACCAGTGGCTAACAGCTGGTTGAGGACTAATCTCTGGGCCTTTATTCTCTTCTCACAGGTAATTTCATTTGGTTAGTGGTCACATGTCTGCAAAATACTTTTACCACTATTTTTTTT